ATCCCAGGACCCTGGAGTCATGACCTGAGCCGAAGGCAGACGCCTAACGACTGAGCCCCCCAGGCGCCCCTCCTCTTTAACTTTGAGCAGTGACTAGGCCTGCTCCGGGTTCAGTCATGCTGAGATGTGAGCAGTGTGCTGGGCCTGGACTGGGTACGCGTCGGTTTCCTTGTCGTGGGGTGACAGGTGACCAGATGGGGCCCCAGATCCTCTGGCCCCACCTACCACCCGCTCCAGCTTCCTGCTCTCCTCTGCAGTTGTTTGTCCTCTATAAGGGCTAGGAAATCTTTCTCATGTGTTTGCCTTCTCTTCGTTAAATCAGATTCTACCTTGAAGATGTTCTCCAAGGAATCCAAAATGCTACAAAGAAGTATATCATTTTCAAATATGGTGAGTTCATTTTAATTTTAAACTAGTGGTATGATGGAAATTCATGTAGCAGTTTGTTTTATACACATACATGATGGCATTTCGTTTCTCCCCAAGCAACTGGGTTTATTCCTGTGTGGTGTCTACAGAATGCCTCAGTGACATTACTTCTAAATTCAATTTAAAAATTTTTCAGGGTGCCTCTTTCTCAAAATACAGTGATTTTGTTTGTAGCCTAGAAAACTAGAAGTGCCACCCAGTAGAATTCCCCTTAATAAATCTTTCCTTTTCTGGAACTGTCAAACTAAACGTGTCTGTGTTTTTTAAATAATGTGTGCATTTCTGAGTGGATAGGACCCCGAATACTAGAAAACCAATTCTTCTGAAAAAACACATTTTGTTGTTCATGTAAACCATCTGAAAGGTTTTGGAAGTCCCTAAAGAATTTTGGAAGTTCTCCCTACTCGTGGAAGTCCGTAATCCAGAGAGGCTCAGCCCACCCTCCCCTCATGATTTACCTGTGTGAGGAGTTCCTCCAGCCCAGGGCCGTGAGGACCATCCAGAAATCCTCAGGCTAGATCCATGTGCCCTGGACACGCTTTGACTTTCTTTCTTACATTTAGGAAGAAACTAAGCATCTGGAACTAGCCAGTTGAAAAAGAAGAAAACTTCCCAAATACGAGGAAGGCCAAAATAAATGGAATTTGAGCATTAATTTGGGGGGGAGCTTTACAAGGTAGTTTTACTGTGTGAGGGATTTACTAATTATTGTAAATAATTAATGTCAAACCATTTGTATTTCAGGCTTTGTCATCTTGTTTACTTTTGCCAGGAGATGCCACTGTCATAAGTTCTTCGTGGGATAATAATGTGTATGTATCTGAGCGTGCTCCTGGTGTAATTCCTCACGCAACCTAGCTGTTTTTGTGGGCAGAAGGCAGGAAAGGACAGGTCTTCTGTTGGCGGGACACTGCGTTGTTTTCAGAAAGGAACAGATCTTAGATAAGGGTGGCTTTGACTGTGATTATTTGAATCTAATAATTTCTCCCATTGGACTCTGTTTTCCTCACTGTTTTAACCTGGGGTAAAAACACAAATGAGCCAGAGCTGGAGATTTCTAGTTTCAAATTCAGATATTGAGGATTTTGGTTTGATAACATGAGAATAAGTACTTTGTAATTCTAGTAAGTCTTAGTACAGAATTAAACAACATAATATTCCTTGAATATGTGTTTAAGAGTCTCAAAATTAGGCTGGGATGCTTTTTAATGGTTCTCATTCTCTTTTCTGTTAGCTATTTTTACTCTATAGCATTTGCAAGACGCCAGGACACGTTAATGGGACACGACGACGCCGTCAGTAAGATCTGTTGGCATGACAACCGACTGTATTCCGCATCGTGGGACTCCACGGTGAAGGTTTGTAGCGAATTCCTAAGCTCACGTGTTTGGATACTGCAAGTATTATAAACCGTTCTACACCTGTTGTTAATGTGCTCAGTCATTTCACTCTTTTTCACAAAGCGTGTCGTGATTTGTAAAGATACTGAGCTCTGTCGCCTGTGGTTTTTCAACATGCGTACTTCTCAATAGGAAGTTTTCCCCATTTTTGTACTGTGCGCTCACCTGGGGGCTGGAATGATGTGGAATTCACGAGACAGAGTTACAGAGAAATACTGGTGACCCTTGAACAACACAGGTCTGCACTGCGCAGGTCCACTTAGACATGGAGTGTTGCCGATAAATACAGTACTGTGAATTTATGATTTTCGTAACATTTTCTTCTCTCTAGCTTACTTTATTGTTAAGACTACGGTATATAGTACATGTAACACAGAATACATTAGTCAGCTGTTCGTGTTACTTGTAAGACTTCCGGTCAACAGTAGGCTATTAGCACTGAAGCTTTGGGGAAGTCCAAGTTATACGTAGATTTTCAACTGCATGGAGTTGGGGGTCGGGGCCCTTCCTCCCCTCCCCCCGCATGGTTCAAGAGCCAGCTGTATACAGTAGCAGCCCCTCTTTATCTCACACAGTTGGAACTAGCAGAAGATGTCAAGTTAAAGTGGGGAATCATGAAAAGAGAATGTGTGAGAAATGCTTTCGTTCTAAGTGTTTGCAAATACCTTCTGCAATATATTGCACTGCAGGTGTGGTCGGGTGTTGCTGCGGAAATGACATGCACCAGAAGACAGCGGTTTGACATGCTGGCTGAGCTGGAGCACGACGTCAGCGTGAGTACCAGCAACAGCACTGCTCCAGAGCTGAGCCTGAGTCCAGGGGAGGGTGGCGGCGGGTGGTTTTACCTGTGTGGTTATTTTTTTGTTTCATGTTATTTTGCTTACCGGAGGAGAGCATGTGCTCTCCGTTCTTTTCTTTGACTCGACTCTTGGGGTTTCCAGGTCTGCTTTGTTGTTGCTTTTTCCCCTCCAACTTGCCATTTCCCTGAGAATTACCTACCGTCCCATCAGATTTCCCAAATACCAGTTTCCGAGCGTGACACTATTTGGACACCCTCAAACTCTTCGGGGCATCGTCTGACACACACGAGAGAAGGGGCCGTCTGTCCAGCGTGCCGCCCTCCGACAGTCTGGGTGGCCCGCGCAGGCACACACGAGCGGCACCTTGTTTTCGCCCGTGCCGGCCCCACTGGGTCCCCCGCCACATGTCCCACTAGAGCCCACAGGACTGCCTTTTCTCCGAGGGGCCCAACTGGTGCCTGATGCGCCCAGTCGACAGACGAGCTGAGGTTGAGAAATACTTACGCAGTCTGTGACTCCCTGGGGGCATGCAAACACAACCTTGAGAGGTCCCCGGCTTTTCCCAGCGCCCTCCGGTAATCGTGGCTCAGCAGTGCTTCAGACCGTTTGGCACCGTGGTACGATTTAGAACTCATAAGAGGCATCATTCGGAACCTTGCCAATTTTAGGCTGTTTTAAAACAGCAAATGGGGCGCCTGGATGGCTCAGTCAGTTAAGCCTCCGACTCCTGGCTCAGGTCGTGATCTCATGGGTTGTGGGATCGAGCCCCATGCCCAGCTCCACGCTCAGCGGGGAGTCTGCTTGAAAATTCTCTCCCTCTGCCCCTCCCCCTACTCGCTCTCGCACACGCTCTCTAAACATTAATAAATCTTAAAAAGAATCCAGCATTACATTTACCCTACCAGTATTTCATTTTATTCACTAGCATATGAAGAATTTCATTTTTATATAATTCAGTAGGCGATGTTGGAACACATCTGCATGAGCCACATCAGTACACCGTGCTGCCGAGTTCAACCTTTATCGGGCCCCGACAGTGCAGTCAGCCTAGGGAAACCGCTAATGACCGTAATTCTGAAGGGAATACTTTGTGTTTTCTTCCTTAGGTAGATACGATTAGTTTAAATGCTGCAAGTACACTGTTGGTTTCAGGCACCAAAGAAGGCACAGTGAATATTTGGGACCTCGCTACAGCCACCGTATTGCACCAGATCCCATGCCATTCAGGGACCGTATGTGATACTGCTTTTAGCCCAGGTAGTGTGATCCTTTTTAATACAGATGATAACTGGGGGAATCGGAATTATTACTTTAAAATAAACAAGGAGAATGTAAAAAGGAGAACAGTCTGCCAATAGAAGTGTTGCCTGTATCTGAGGCTGCCTCATGGCACAGTATGGTATCCTCGTGCCATTTGCACCCACAGAAAAGCTGTAGTGGACACTGTTCTTAATTCGTCTGCTCACCAGAGAAATTAAGTTGTAAGACGCAAATGAGCTCACGCCAAAGGGTCACCGGCCCAGGGTCTTAGAAGCATTGCAAGGAGAGGAGAGTCTTCGGTTCAGTACAAGTACATGCTCCTCAGTAGCCTGAGGAGCATGAAAGTGAACGTTATGCCAGAGATAAAATGTCAGAATAACCTACAACCGACTTCTGAAGCCGTTTCACCTCGTTACAGACAGTCGTCACGTCCTCAGCACGGGGGAAGATGGCTGTCTAAACGTCATAGATGTGCAGACAGGAATGCTCATCTCTTCTATGACTTCAGACGAGCCCCAGAGGTATATTTTTTGAGTTACTAGTGGGGAAAGACAGGCACCAGCAAGTTCAGGATCCTGTCGTTTGGGCTTCCTTTGGCCAGGGTAACACAGCCCCTCCTTCATGAGGACTGATCAGATGATTATTTCTAAATCATGCTTGCAGATGCTTTATCTGGGATGGAAATTCTGTTTTATCTGGAAGTCAGTCTGGTGAGCTGCTCGTTTGGGACCTGCTCGGAGGGAAAATCAGTGAGAGAATACAGGGCCACACAGGTAAGCAGTTAATGCAGTTGACTTCACCTTTCTTCCTAAAATGCTGAACTCAAACCTGCTTTTCCCATCAGGAAACATACTCTTCCCAGGCAGAAAACCTACCATTTCCCTCCACACTGTCAGTGTTCCCCTCCAGCACCTTGGGTCCTTCGGGATTGAGACTGATGTTAACAGACATTTGACTCCAAAAAGGAAGTTTGCGCATTAACTTCCACGTGGAGAATTAAAAACCATAGTGAAAGTTGGAATTGTTGTTTTAAAAATACATGCACATAGTTTTTAAAGAAACCCAAAAACAACACAAAAATAATGAATTACAGTGAAAATGATCTTCCTCCCACCACCGACCCCACCCCACCCCTGCTGTTCTCCTCCCTGAAGGACTCCTTCCTCTGTCCTGGAGGTGTGCCCTCTTATGATTGGGAGGGTAGGTTGTAGGCATATTAACTATTCTGCCCATTTGTTTTTTGTTTTTTTTTTCCACTTAGTATATTGTGAAGATTCATTGTATTTGCTTACATTTATTTGCATGGTTGCCTCCTGATCATCTGGAAGATTTATGGTTTTTAATTCTTCTAGTATCTATGGTTATAAGTATCTGTTTTCCACTGTGACCAGTAACTGTCCCCTTCATTCCCTTCCCTCCGTCACTAAGTTATGTGGTTATTTCTTAACATTAGAAAGTGATCTGTTTAGGTCATCCTCAACTTACTGGCTTTAAGTAACATTTGACTCCTTCCAGTAGAAATGGAATTAGCTAACTTCCACCAGTTCCCTACCTTCTCCTCTCATCCGTGTCCTGACCACTAGCTACATGTAGGAATAGCTGTTTGCATCCCCAGTTATTAGCTTTACATTTAAGTGGTTTTATTCCTCACAAGTTCCTTGTACCAAGCAGTTAAATCTTTCATTTATACACCAATTACAGGATGAGAGAAGACAACATAGTACTTGAGAGTACCTTTTGGGGGGCCCCTGGTCAACTTACCACCTAACCACAAGGTCTCTTTCTCCTAGGTGCTGTAACATGTATATGGATGAATGAACAGTGTAGCAGTATCATCACAGGAGGGGAAGACAGACAAATTATGTTCTGGAAACTGCAGTATTAAGTGCCTTTTCCTCTCTTGAATGTTAAATTGAACTCTATTTAATGTATTTTTAAACCAGACTTTTAAATGAACTGGTGAATGTGCAATGATAGTAATTTGAAGTTTTACCACAAGACATTTGTGGTTTTAAACTTCCTAAATCATGGCGACTTCACTGAAAGCCATCAGTTGCCGTCCTCTAAAGCAGACAAAGATATGGCAGTGTTAGGGAGAAAACATTACATTTGTAAGGCAGATGGTCATCCCAGTATGCTGATGGTCAGAAGGCAGGTTTGGGTGGCAAAGTGGGTAAGAGATACTAAACTGAGATGGGAAAACTTTCAGAAAACACTGAACAATTTTGAATTTTCCAAGAAAACGTGCACTATTCTCTACTACTTCTGAGTCACTCTATTTTGTCTTCCTAACCTACAGAAATGCTGCCCATTGGGTTTGGGGTATGTGTTTTCTTGGAGTGGTTACTTTGTATAACCTACGGTCCTCAGATTCTAAGAACCTGGGGAAAGATTAGCAATTCTTGTAAGTTTACTGTGTATAGGAACAGTTTATTTCATTATAGCTATTAAATGCTCATCTTTTCTACATTAAAAATATTTTTCTGTAATGAAAGCAGTTTTCATTTTCTTATTTAAATGATTACCAAGACTAGTACCTTTTAAGAACTTCAACGATTGATCCTTCTAGACAACCATACTTAGTGATGTGAATCTCATTCATTCTTACATTTTTGGAACCATCCTCAGACCCAAATCTAGGTAACAAGGTAGGTAAACTGGGAAACGTTCGGTTTGCTTTTCTAAATTTCAACAAGGTAAGCTGTAAAGCCACACTACTGACTTCCTTTTATATTATGACAGTGTTTTTAAAGACTGTAGGGGGGGTTTTATCTTGTAGGCTGTATGACATGGGGGAAAAACAACCCAGGCTAACAGTTTTCAAAGTCAGTTTTAAGTGTCATTAAACATGACTTGGTCTCAGATGTTGCAGGGAGCATCTGTGGCCTCTGTGAGTTCCTGTTGCTCAGCCTGAAGTGTGCAGGGCAGGCGGGCCATCTGCGGTTCACAGGTGGAAACACTCTTCCTGACACGCCTACTCTCGGCACAGAGGGCTTTTCTCAGGGCCTCTCGGTGCCTGCTGCTCTGGGAGACAACTGCCGCAGGCCCAAGGTGTGAACTTCACTCGCCGGCTCTAAGTCACACGCAAGTTTGGTGAAAGGCACAGTTTCCAAATGATGCAACAGACTAAAAGTCCACTTTATTTATACATATTTAATTAAGGTGGAATAGGCATAAACCAGAAAAAAAAAATGAGGATAAAGTGTCACTGCCATTTTGTTTGCAGGGAGGGGTCAGGAAATGAACAAATGACCTGGGAAACATCCTAAGACCATCCCAAAGTAGCTAGATTATAGAATGTTAAGAGTAAATGACAAAATTAGGTATTATTCCACTTAATCTACAAATGAATAAAGGGAGTCAAAAGTTTATCCTATTTAGTATAAGAATTTTTACATTTAATATATAGTGATTCATTTCTCAGAAAGTAATACCGGTAACTTTTAGAAGAAAGAAATTTCCATTACACAACTGACTAGAAAGTCTCAAATGTAACTAAGCAGCTATGCTATAGCTCAGTATGTACCATTAAATTGTCCTGGGCTAGTGTACATTTCAGTTTAACATAGAACTGCAGTTTGGGTTCTAGAAAGGCAGCAATAGTTATATTTTGGCTTTTATTCTAGATGCTTAACAGTTAAGGCGACAGTTGAAGCATATTAAGTAAAGGTAGTTACAATTAAATGATGATCAACACAATCTCTCGCAACCTACATACACTGTATAATGCTTACATGGAATGAAACCAGTGTACTTAATTGGTGTTTTATAAACACGTGCACGCACACACACACACAGAACTAAAAAACCATCAAAAGCAGTCATTCTACATGTACTATGGTAACACATTAAAAACGCAATTATACCACAGAACTAAAGTAATATGAACAGCACTACTTGATGTAAGATAAAGGTGACTGGTTCTAACACAGAGCTAAGCCTGTGTCAGTCATTCTAATCATAATGGCTTGTAAAAGCATCGGGTTTCTAGTAGAGAAACTACTCTATGAAAATCAGTAAATCTGTCCAAAGTTTCACATCTGTAAAACCAGGATAAGGCTACAATGATCTTGAAGTGGGAACAAGATATCCAATCAAAACAGTAAGATTCCCAGCCATAATGTAAGATAGAAAGGTCTTCATGCAGCATATGCTCTCTGGCTCCTAGAAAGCTTCATGTGCATAATAGTTAAGTTGCCCAGGAAGTAAACTGGAGAAGTTTGGTGAAGCTTCCATTGTGCCATGACTTTTAAACCTCAGGAATGGTGTGATCCATCAGGCTTTTCATAATGCTTGGTGCCATCCTACGAGAGAGTCACTTTATTAAATTGTGTGGTTTGGGTTTCTTTTTTCAAAAAGGGCTATGCTAATCCAAGAAAACGCCCATTCAAACTTAGCACTTGTTAGCATCAAGTGGGACTGTGGGGAGAGGGAAGGTCTTTTTTTTTTTTTTTTTTTTTAATGAGTTCAGGAGTCTCGGGAATCTAGTTATTTGCAAATATACCCAGTGTGAAACGCCATCTGTATCTTGGCTAGAGATACAAGTAAGTCCTTGTATATTAAAGCTGATGACTAAAAACAAGGAAAATGGGAAGGGGGAACCTATCACTGGTTTAAGAGAACTCGAGAACAAGTAGTCTTGACTATACCAGTTCCCTTTTTTTCCTACCCAGAAACTGAAAAATTTTATTAAGGTATTATGTTTTTAATCTTTTAAATCTTATTTCCACAGGCAAGATAAGATTCTGAAAGAAGGATCTAAGTTGGCTTGGCAAAAACAGCTATGATAGAAGCCAGGATTTTAAAAGTTCTAGGGAAGGTGAAAACACTTGCTCCCCCTACTCAGCTGTCCCATCCTCATTTCCTGAGGCCCATCCTAGCACCACACCCCTCACCCCTACACACCTCTACCTGCCTCCTCAGATGCTCTTAGAACAAAACCCATTACTCCTAACATCCCACAGGCAAGAATTCTCCATCATGAACCATCAGAATAGATTTCTTATAAGCAGAGGAGCTTGTAGGCAGAGTGCAACTGCAGTCAATTTTACTGAAAGCTGAAATGAAAGCCTGCCCACTTCTGCTCATACACGTCTTTCCAACTAGAAAATGTCAACATTTCGCAAGTGTATGGTGAATTTGATTCAGTACTTGGGAAGTTGTGAGGGACCGTCCTTACCTACCAATTCCTCTAAATAAGCAACTTCAGATTTCTAGATAAATACCATGCCATCCCTTAGGTAAAAGAACCAAAGATTTGGGACTTAATATAAGCACTGTACTTTAACTCAGAGGACTGTAAGCATCGAGTTGAAGTACTGACTACTTACCGTTTAATAATATGTTCAAAGATAAAAGCAGGCATGATTGTAATAGTAACTACAGTCTCAGATGTTGACAGTATGTCTGCAATTTGAGAATCCTGTTGAAAACAGGTGATGAAAATTAATATTAAGGCTTCATTTCATAAATATGAAACTATGTTATTCTTGGTAAATATGTATATCCTCTTAGGTTTTGCTAAGACCTCTAAAATCTGACCCTTGATATTTGTAATTTTTTCCAGTTTCTCTTACCAAGTTTAATTCTACAGAATCACAATTTTATAGATGGAAACAAAATTGCTGAGTAAATATTTTAGCCAGAAAATCATCTGCTCATTGTTTAAGATGACATAATTTTCCTCACATGCAATACTACCCTCAGTTAACAGTGCATTCTTAACAAAGTTTATGAAATGAACAGGTCTTAATGAAACCTTTTGTACCTTAAAATAGCCATATTTAGGAATCTGCAGAGGAAAAAAACAAGGTACTAATATAAACAAACTATTACTCATTTCCTACCATTCCTAGGTTGAAAAAGCTGAGCAATCATTCATTCAGAATGTCATCAAAATCTCCAATGCCCATGTTTCCACAGAATTCTAGTTCAAGGGACTGCTGAGATCATAGAGTCAAGCCCTTTGCTATAGGAATGTTAATTCCAAATAGCCCAAGTAATTCCTTTGGCCTGAGAGCACAGCCAGAGCCCCAGATCCCACATCACCCATCTCCCCACTGAGTTTCTATTTATTTTGGAGGTCAACGTGAAAATACCACCAAAACAGACAAATGGAAAAGACATTTGCTCAAATAAAACTGCAGCACAAGACACAAGTTCTATTCCTTACCTTCAGCCCAATGATATTCTGCCCATTGACTTCGCAGATGTTATGTTCTGTGAGAAGACCATTTCTGGCTGCAGAACTATCTTTCACTATGGATGTTATCTTTCCATTTTTAAAGATAAAGCCAACATGTCCAGTACTATCCTTATGCATGGTAACTGTCCTTTCAAAGGGCCTGTAAGCACAATGGATTAAATTAAAATTTTCATTCTTCCTATTGGTCCAAGTTACTCTTTGAATTTCCTTAGATATAAATTTGGTGTTCATCTACAAAATGTTTACTAAAAATACCTACCATGTGTGAGAAAACTGGAAACAAGGTTAGATAAAACTAAGTTTAACTGAGAAGAATAAAAATCCAAAAGCTAACTGTAACAATGTGATACAGGTCCACCCATAACACTTGTTAAGGGGCAAGAAAAAATATAGGCCCTTATTTCATGTGCCTAAATGTTTAGGTTATAAACTGACAGCTAAATAAAATATTCTATCTTCCCACCTGACAACTATAGAGTCATAACCACCCAAAAAGGCCACATTTTTAGAACTCCTACTCCACTTGGGAGTTCTGCAGGGACCCTGGCACTGTGTCCATCCTACACTGGATGTCTAAGCAGCATATTGGGAAGTGAGGCCAGAGATGCCATACTGCTTACTTTTCCAACATTCATTTTTTTATGATCTAGAGAGACAGGAAAGTAACATCTTAGAGGATGAATTTCATAAGCTTTGAAATAAGATGCATACAAAACCAGAATGCTATTAAAAAGAAAACTATGTAAGAAGAATCTGCAACACACAAAACTGCCAGAGTATAAGGCTGATCAATAACATGATAATCTTCTGCAACACAGTATTTTATCCACAGACTCTTAAAAGCCCAGGAAAATGGAAAACTAGTCTTAAATTTCCATTTGAACTGTATAGTCAACTTACCTGTCACGAACAGTCATAGTAATTTTCTCTCCAAAAGCCTGTTTGAGCACCTTGTGTGCTTTATCAGAGCTCCAGCCTGCACAGTTTTCCCCATTGATCTGGAGTACTTGGTCCCCAAATCTCAGACCAACCAATGAGGCTGGAGAATTTGCCTGGACCAGCTGAACAAATATACCCTAGAGAATAATAAAATAACTTTGGTCATTTACCACTGTTATGATTTAAAAATGCTGGAAAATTAGGAACCAACTGTTCAGGTTAGGAATCTACCCTAGTAAAAAATGAATATATGTGTCGTTACTCCCAAAAAGTAAACTGAAAATTTTATCAGGGCAATGAGATCTCACTAGTAATTTCTACCTCAAATCATGACCCACCACCCACCTGAC